AGTAGTAGGCAGCTTACCTGCGCGGCGCGCAATCGGCAGGAAGTCAAGGTGTCGGGTGGAATTAAGCTTTTCCGTTGTAACTGTTCCCCCGATGGAAAGGAGAGCATCGCGGTTAGAACGGGACGGCGAAAAAACAGCGAAGGTTGACGTCACGGAGAAACCGCGAACGAAGAGAATGTCGACGGGTCACGAGGTAAGTCTCGAAAGGTTGTTTATGTGCTGGCACGTGTCCGCGAAGCTCGAGGGGAAGCAGAAGGGCGTAGGGCGATACGGTTAGGAGGGAGCAGGCTAGCACGAGGAGTCGCTGGGACACGTGTACTCGGCAGACATCGATCCTGGAAGTTGCTCTTCAAGGTCGCTCGGCCTGCCACCCTCGCCGCTTCGTATCAACGACCTCTCGACCCCTCGGGATATCCTAAAGTACGTCAGTAGGCCAACTAACCCTGAACTCTCGGTGTACCGCGATTACTGTTCTAGCAGGGATAGCCTTTCAGCCTCGGAACAGGCGACAACTCGCGCTCGGCCTATATTTCCCGTTCTTCGCTTTTTCTCCCCCCGCCCCCTCCCCGCCCCTCGGCCCCCTTTGTCCCCCCCTGTCCCGTTCTCGCGACCGTCGATTAATCATCGCCGGCGCTGCGCCACGTCGACGTGGAAATCGTCGAATCGTTTCGTTGATTTACGAGCACGCGTCGGGACGCCTATCGAGAGATGCTTATCGCGGCCGGGAAGGGAACGACGTTATCGAGCTGGCCTGGAAGGAATCGAAGGATCGCGAGGCGATAAGCGGGGGAAGAGGGGGGGGTGATCCGTAATTCGTAAAAATTCCCGCCAACGTTATTCCGCCATGTTACGGCCACGGGGAGAAATTTGGGCTACGCGTGCTGCTGCCGTTGGGTGGTCGATAAGGTCGACGGCAGGCACGGACACAACGATATCCATTATCCGACGGCGGAAATGGCGGCGGATAAGCGGTGGAAGACGCGGAGGAAGGCGAAGGCCTCGATAAGACGCTCGGAACGAGGGAAGTTGCAATTGCGGACGCACGTGCGGACCGGCGTACCCACGTGAATGAATGAAAACGTGTGCCGAAGGTTGTAGGGTTGTAGCATGCGACGGAACGAGGAAAGAAGGAGGAAGATGGAACGGAAGGAAGAGGTGTGTGCGAGCGAGAGGGAAACGGGAGTAGTGGGAAGAGGAAGAGAGGACGAGCGAACCGGTGGAAAAGAGGAAGAGTGAGAGAGAGAGAGAAAGAGAGAGAGAGAGAGAGAGAGAGAGAGCGCGGTGGCGTTGGACGAGGAGAGTAGCGTGTGCGAGAGAGAGGAAAAAAGGGAAACGAACGACGCGAAGCACATGGGCCTTGTATCGAACGTAGCAACCACTATGTAGTCAAGGTCGGTCTTTGCCCCTTAGCGTAAAGGGGCGTCCTAAGGATGTATCCCTCGCGATACAACGACCCTTGGCCGGCGTGCTTCTCTCTTTCGGTGTAAATAGACTCGGCTAACGATACGCAGCGGCCTACCAGATGGGGGAAAACTTTCCTTAATTTTATCAATTCCGCGACACTCGCTCCCCGTACGTCATCATTGCGTGGCTCATTATTTAAAACAGATCGACGAACGGTCGAAATATCTACGGTGAAAATGTCTTAACCCTTTGAGCGCTGAGCTGTGCGACGTTAAGCGTGCGCTGTGGGACCCCCCGCTTCTTACGACGAAGCACGTTTCGGCGATATTCTGAACTAATTATCGTAAACTATTTCAAAATTATTATTTCATAAAACTATACAGCGTTCGTAGCCCAGATCGAATGTATGGGTTCATAGCGCTCAAAGGGTTAAATATCTTAAATTCGTCGCGAAGCTCGGCGTCGAAATATCGAAATCGATCATTGTTGTAGCTAGTCTCGGGATTCAGCTTTGCTGGGTGAAATGGAACCGGTGTGGACGTCGGTGAGCTTGCGAAAAGTGCCACCGTTCCGTCCCATTCGTGCATCAATTAGACGCGTAAATAGGAAGACGCGCGAACGTTCCATTGACACGGACAGTAGTAGGAGTCATTCATGGTCAGACGAGTGTAGGAAGGACTAAATTGGATTCTCGTTGGGCCCGAGGAACACATGCGAGCGTTACTACGCCTATTGATATGATGTATTAAAATTCTGGACGCACACGGCGCAACGCGTCCATTATGTATAATTTAAAAATTTACATGCCAATTTGTACATATCGTGGGATGAAAACATTTCGAGGCCGATTAATGGATACCGAATGTTTTCGCGAAACTCGTCATATACATATATCGTTAAAAATAATGTAACCCTGAACGGATGACGAATTGCCTCGGTCGTCGTTCGGTATCGGTCGCGTCGAGTATCGGCAAGCGTTGACGCACTGTGGAAACGCGAACCGTTCGTTGCGGGGAAAAAAGAAGGAAAAGGAAAAAAGAGAAGAAAAGGAAACGAGAAAATAAATAAATAAATAAATAAAATAAATAAAATAAAGCGAATACCGGGGAACAAAGCGAAACGAAATGGAGGGAAAAAGAGGGAAAGAAAGGTGAAAGGAGAGAAAGAAAGAGTATGAAATTGCTCCGATCGCGGAACGAAAAAATTTCGAAATAACTGTAAATTTTCCTTATTTTTGTTTTCCTCTTTTATTTCGACAGCGATTGCGCGAAACAGAGCGAAGGAGGGGACTTTTTTAGGTTATTCGACTTTTCATTGAACCCGCGACATTGTTTAGAATTGCCCGGCATGGCGGTAGCCTTGAGCGGCTGTCGGAGGTTCAATTTTTCCAGGGCCGTATCGCGGGCCGCGCGCGCGCCGCCGCCTTGTCGCGCTCGAATCACGGCAAGACGAGCCAAATGTCGGAGGTTACAGCTTTCAACCGCTTTTTATAGACCGTATTAGCATCCCAATGATTTCTGATTCATCGCAGATGCTCCGCGTGGTTATCTGCGCGGGAAAAATAAACGGAGACGTAATCGAGCCGATAATACCGTTTACACTGTCAATCGTCGCGCGCGTTTCCATTCGTCGAATTCGCCATTGCCACGCGACCGCGCGTTAATTTCATCTCCCGATGTTCGCGTCGTTCCGCTCGTATGCAAAACCAACGAGACCACGACGAGGATGACGACGAGAGCCGGGAAGAAATAACTAAAATAAAATTAAGAAAAAAAAAACAAAAAAAAACAGAGAAAAGAAGAATTACCCAAAGCAGGTGCTTTCCTCTTGACTTTACGGGTCCAAACCTCGAAGCAGTCCTCGAGCGCGAGGTTCCAGTGCTTGTCGAAGGCAGCCACGTATGCCTCCACGTGTCCCCTTATGCCGCGCGCGTTCCTGGTGTAGACCTTCGGCACAAAGGACGAACGATTATTCCTTTTAAATCGCGGCGAGTCTCGTGTTACCCGCTCGTCGTGGCGGTTCAACTGTTCCAGGTAAAGCCGGCTTCTCGCGAGACCAGGTACGAGAACGAGACCAAGCGAACGATCGTGACAGCGAGAGCGAGAGAGCGTGCACCGCTCTCCTCCCTCGAAAATAAGTGCACGAACGTAACGCGCATCTCGATCCGCGATATTCCAGATCGTACGTGTCCGTACTGCCGATGAGGAGGACGCGTCGCGCCTCGCGGCGCAGCACCGTCGGCTTCTTCGGGGCCCGATCGGTCGTTCGGGCCCGGAAAAAGGCGGCGCGCAATTTTTACGCGCATCTCCGCAACACTGTACGCGTAATTCGTACCTACGCGGGCTAATCGCGCGTTTCCGAACGAGAGAGAGAGAGAGAGAGGAGAGGAGAGGAGAGGAGAGCATTAACGCGACGATTACGAGAGATTGCAGAAGATGAGGATTATTCGCGTGATACGCGATTAGAAACGATCCTTCGCGACCGATCGCTGTCCAATGGCGAACCGGTTGTTCGTCGTGTCGAGGATTCTCGTGTTTCGAGAAAGTTCGATTAACGCACGACGTCGACGCGGAGTTTGCGGAGGAACGGTTTCCAGGAAAGCGTGCGCGGGCTCGACCGAACTTTTCCAATTTTCCAGACGATAATTGTATTAATGACAGCTGGCGCGACCGTGTCTACGAGAAAACGAGTGCCACTTTGTTGTTTGTCGCGCGTAGATATGTCGCGAGACAAGATAGCAGGCTGATACGCGGAAGTGCAGACCGTGGCAAGGCCCCCTTCAATGCCTTTCGCACTGATATATACCCAGCTTTGTCGCAATGAAAACTAATTGCGTGACTCTGACTCGCTCCTCCTCTCTCCTTTCCCCTCTCTCCCTCTCTCTCTCTCTCTCTCTCGCCCTCCACGCGCGCATCTGACGTTCGGTATCGTTCCTGGCGGATCTTTCGACGAATCCGTCCGCCGTTTTGCTTTTCCCTCTTCTTTCACTGGTCGTGGAATTTCTGCCGAGTTTCTCGTCACCTTCCCGTCGATCTTTTCCTGTTCCGAAATTGATCCGATTTGGAGAGACTAGCCTCGAAAGACTAGCCGTGGAAAGGTTCGATTAAGAATTCGCACCGCGACCTTACGATACCTTTCTTTCGCTGCTCGTCATTGACTCCGTGCACGTGTCCCGTACGTGCGCCAAACGCCATTGAGAAGCGACACGTCGGTCACGGCATAAGCTAGAACCGATTCTAGGAGTCCTCAAGATTCCTCCAGCCGTATCCTTGCTGGTCCGGATGCGGGGCAGGATCCGTCGATTAGCCGCGAAGGACGCCCGCGTCGTCCGGTTCGCAGAATCCTGTCAATCGCAGGTCCAAGGATCCATCGAGCCCGTCGACACGACGCCAGATGGCGAAACGTCGCTAAGACGAATCGGAGATCGGTTAGGCCTCGAGGTGCCTAGTTCGAGATTACAATTTGGCCGGAAAATTTAGGGATCCGGGGATACTAGTCGCAGTAGATCGAAGCAAAGTCTGATGGCGTGGATCATTTCTATTCGCCAGCGCGTAACAGCCGTGCAACAATTCGCGATGGCGAAACGTCGCTAAGACGAATCTGAGATCGGTTAGGTCTCGAGGTTCCTAGTTCGAGATTACAATTTGGCCGGAAAATTTAGGGCTCCAGGAGTCCTAGTTATCATAGATCAAGGGAAAGTCTGATCGTTTGGATCATTTCCGTTTGCCAGCGCGCAACAACTCGCGATGGCGAAACGTCGCGTCGACGAATCGAAGATCGGCTATCCCTCGAAATTCCCAGTTCGAAATTACGATTGGACCGGAAAATTTAGGGCTCCGGGAGTCCTAGTCGCCATAGATGGAGGCAAAGTCTGATCGCGTGGATCATTTTCATTCGCCAGCGCGTAACAGCCGCGTGACAACTCAGAATGACGAAATGTCGCGTCGACGAATCGAAGATCGGCTATCCCTCGAAATTCCCAGTTCCAAATTACGATTGGATCGGAAAATTTAGGGCTCCAGGAGTCCTAGTCGCCATAGATCGAGAAAAAGTCTGATCGCGTGGACCATTTCCATTTCGTGCAACAATTCGCGATGGCGAAACGTCGCTAAGACGAATCTGAGATCGGTTAGGTCTCGAGGTTCCTAGTTCGAGATTACAATTTGGCCGGAAAATTTAGGGCTCCAGGAGTCCTAGTTATCATAGATCAAGGGAAAGTCTGATCGCGTGGATCATTTCCGTTTGCCAGCGCGCAACAACTCGCGATGGCGAAACGTCGCGTTGACGAATCGGAGATCGGTTAGGCCTCGAGGTTCCTAGTTCGAAATTACAATTTGACCGGAAAATTTAGGGCTCCAGGAGTCCTAGTTATCATAGATCAAGGGAAAGTCTGATCGCTTGGATCATTTTCGTTTGCTAGCGCGCAAGAACTCGCGATGGCGAAACGTCGCGTTGACGAATCGGAGATCGGTTAGGCCTCGAGGTTCCTAATTCGAGACTACGATTGGACCGAAAAATTTAGGGCTCCTGGAATCCTAGTCGTCATAGGTCAAGGCAAAGTCTGATCGTGTGGATCATTTCCGTTCGCCAGCGCGCAAAAGTCACGCGACGATTCGTAATGGCGAAACGTCACGTCGACGAATCGGAGATCCTTTAAGTATCGAGCTTCCCATTTCTAGATTACGATTGGATCGGAAAATTTAGGACTTTGGTAGCCCTAATCTCGATAGATCGAAACAAAGTCTGATCGCGTGGATCATTTCCGTTTGCCAGCGCGCAACAACTCGCGATGGCGAAACGTCACGTCGACGAATCGAAGATCGGCTATCCCTCGAAATTCCCAGTTCCAAATTACGATTGAACCGGAAAATTTAGGGCTCCGAGAGTCCTAGTCGCCATAGATCAAGACAAAGTCTGATCGCGTGGACCATTTCCATTCGCCAGCGCGCAACAGCCGCGTGACAACTCAGAATGACGAAACGTCGCGTCGACGAATCGGAGATCGGCTATCCCTCGAAATTCTCAGTTCCAAATTACGATTGGACCGGAAAATTTAGGGCTCCGAGAGTCCTAGTCGCCATAGATGGAGGCAAAGTCTGATCGCGTGGACCATTTCCATTCGCCAGCGCGCAACAGCCGCGTGACAACTCAGAATGACGAAACGTCGCGTCGACGAATCGGAGATCGGCTATCCCTCGAAATTCCCAGTTCCAAATTACGATTGGACCGGAAAATTTGGGGCTCCAGGAGTCCTAGTCGCCATAGATCGAGACAAAGTCTGATCGCGTGGACCATTTCCATTCGCCAGCGTGTAACAGTGACGCGCAACAGTGACACGAGGACTGGCGAGGACTCGCTGGAGAGGGCAGGAGCGAAATCCGTCGGGGGGTAACGAGGAATCTCGCGTGACGGCGAAAAAGGACGGCGGAGAACGCGGTCGAAGGAATAGAAATCGCGTAATGACCATCGGCGATTGTCCTCGCGCGAATCATATTCGTCAACTGTCCTTTTTTCTCGTACGCGCGATCCCGCGTTACATAACCGCGCATTATACAAGATATTACGTAGGAATGCGTGGAAATGACGAGGCTGCTGGAGATGGGTCGCGATGGAAGGAAAAATGGCGGACGCTTTCTTCGTTAATTCGAGAAGCGATCCGAAGGACGAGCGATCGATCGGCGATACAAAGTCTTCTTTCCGGATGCAGGCACATCCGAAGGTTAGAGATTAGGATCTGTTGCCAAGGACGGTGGTCGGAAGATACGCAGGCTCTCGATGCGTTATGGCGGTGAGAGGACTCGGTCGAGGAATAGCGTCGCTCGGGATGACGGGCGACGCTGCGAATGAAAGCTAATGAAAGTAATTAATCGAGAAACACGTTCCCGTCTCTTATTAAAAGCCTCGGGATCCGAAAGGAGTTTAATTAGGAACTCGATTCCGCTCATTGAGAATATCGAATATAGACAGGCGCTTCCGCAGGAAGATCAATTACATCAATTTAACGATTAACCTTTTTTTTTTTTTCCTTTCCTGCCCGACAGTTCAGATCTTCCGTTCGAGAGAAGCTGCAACGGTGCCGGGTGCATTCGAAACGTCTCGCGCAATGGTTAATAACCGAGTTAAACGACGAGAGGGGGAGCGAATAATCCCTTTGAGAGCGAGTTTCCCGGATCGATGGCAGCGGGTCGCGATCGAAACGTCCACCCTGTAATTATTTTTATCCTCTGGAACTCTCGCGTCCAGGTCCCGAGCCTAGGCCTCGAGAGCTAGAGCCTCTATAGCCCGAGCCGTTTATTTCGGAGCGTGTTCGGGAAACGCGCGAGACTGGCGCAACACGCTTCCTGCTTCTTCATCGCGAATCCCGTTCTCCCGCGTTGGCTAAACGCGCCGCCTAATTATGGAAGTAGGAAGCAACGCGGACTCGATGCGACAGGAAGTGGATTTTTCCTCCTTTCGTCGCCAGATAGGACAGGTCTCGGGTGACGAGGGGCGCGCGGCGCGCCGCGATTTCTCCTCGTTCACAATGACGCCTGGAAGAGAAAGAAAATCAAACACAAAGACCTTGCACGTTGATTTATTTTCCGGCCGCGAGAAAAATGGCTCGCGATCGTTGTCGGGGACTGATACGATCCAGAAACGTCTTCACGTGATTTCATCGGATCGCCGTCTGACTCACACGCGATATTCAGTTTCCCCGTCGAAGAAGAATGCCGCCACCAGCCACGGCCAGATTAAAAACGCTTGATACGCGAGCGTCCTCGCTTTCTCGTTACGCAACCATTCGGATAAAGTACCGTACTTCTCGTTAACCTTGCCACGTCCGATCTCGGCGAAAAAATTTCACCGATTTTCCGCCAATGGGTCACGCGACGGGGGTCCCGGATGACCCGGCTAACCGCGTCTGTGCTTTTCTTTCCCCTTTCCCTCTTTTCCTTATTCTTCTCTCCTCTCGTGGAAAACGGAGAGAGGCGATCGTCCGAAGAGGCCCTTCTCGAAATGAGTTTTTGGCCGCGCGCGACCTTGTCTTTTCGAAGCGTCCCTCGAAAGAAGGGGAAGATCAGGGGCGTAAACAGGACGAGGAAGGCCCCGGTTGTCTCCATGGAGACGAGTGTTGACCCGAACAGTTTCCTTTCTCCCTCCGCCCGTACCTTTCGGTCGTTTCCAGCCCTCGTTTACCTTCGAAGGGCTCGCGCACGTGTCTCCCGGTCGCGAAAGTGTGTCAGCCGCGTGTGCGTGCGCGCACAATGCCAGGGGTCAGGCAGAAATGGCAGGCGTGGGTGTTTACAGTGCCGCTTTCAGGACTACCCTCGAATTTCCATCGGCCGCCAAAGAGTAATCGGGATCATCCTCCATTCTCGTCTCTTCTCTCGCATTCTCTCTCCGCGAGGTCCACGCCCTTTTCTTTTCCCATTTCCCATTTTCGCTTTCGATTTTCGAAATTTTCTCCACCGACCGCGTGATCCTATTTTTGAGTCGCTCTTTACTTCGTACGCGACGACGTGGAATCGTAGATCGTTGATCGGCGCGGCGATCGGTGGAAAAATATCTCGAGTCGTGACCTACCTTAACGCGAGTCCGACTTTCCATGTATCCGTGTAGCATTCCTAACGGGCCGAAGGTTCTTTGCATTTTCGCGAGGACGTTTCTTCCCTCTATGCTCCACTCTCGTCCTCCTGTCGTTGTTCTGCCAGTCACGGGCTCTGCACATGGCAAAAACACGGCTGATTCCAAACCTATTCTCCGCGTTCCTCGCAGTTAAGACAGTCGAAAACCGCGACGGGGGCTCGCCGCGCTATTCCGCGTACCCTGGAAATAGACGGGTGGCGCGGGGAAGGATAAAAAGCCGGTGGGGGATCGATCACCGAGGGGAAGAAGGAGGAAAGCAGAGGTGAAATTGGCGGGTATCTCGAGAGATCGCGATCGCGGGCTAACGAGTGGACGCGTTCGGCATTATCCCGGTAGATTTTTCCAGGCGGCCATAACGGCGTGCTAATAAGAATTTATGTGGCTCTCGCGGCTCGTCGGTTCGCCGACAAATCATCGTTCATCGCTGTATCCGCGCGGCGCGCAGACGAGCGCTCGCCGATAGCATCGTGCGCTTCTAGTCGGCCGGTTTTTGCTCGTTTTTCCCGCCACCGCGGGAAGAGAGACGCGAGCCATTACGCATACGACGAACGCGGCCCCGCAACGAGGACGACGCCGAAGACACCGACGACGACGCTCGGCCAGCCGTGCTTCCCCGGCGAGGAAAAATCGAATTTGTATGCGAGCTACGCGAACCGAATCGCGCCAACGGAATATCCTCGAGAAGCCCCGGAGTCTTCTTCCTTCTGTCGATAACGCGCTCGCCTTCGTGGTCGTGGTCGTGGTCGTGGTTGCGGCGGAAGGTAAAAGAGAGAAAGACCGGGAGGGAAGGGGTATATACGGTACTGCCGCGGCAGCGACAGTTATTTATGGCAATAAATATTTGATTACGATAAATTACGTAGCGGCCAGAAGGCACGCGAACGTCCCCCTCGTAATTTCCTCCACGTTCCACGTTTCGTTAACTATTCGTAACGGCGAAAGTATTCACCGTGCATGACTGGTCGTCGCCGGCCGGTGGCTCTCCAACACACCGAGCAACAGCCTCTGGAATACGATCGCGCGTTTAGCGTAAAAACTGATTTCGGATCGGGGAAGCGCGTAGCGGTGGCGTCGGATGGTGGGGGCCCGCGAGAAGGTGGCTCGGCCCTGGCCGGCGTGGCGCGGAAAGAGGAACGCCGCAGAGTTACGTAAAGGCTGGCTCTGCTCTATACACGCGCTCTGCCATACGCTCCGCGCACACGAGTGCACTTATTTCGCCGGTGTGTGCGCGCTCGCGCGGCCCGTCTCCTACGTGCGCTCGAGTGTACTCGCGCGTACGCGTACCTCTCGCGCTCACGCGCCTTTGCTCCTTCGTTCCTTCCTTCGTTCGTTCGTGGCTAGGTGTTGCGCGCGCGCGGGCGCGACAGCGCGAAAAGAGCGGATCGAGTGCCGATGGTGCACGCGCGCGCGAGCGCACGAGCGCACGATGCACTCGCGAGATCGACGCTGCCAATTGGCTTTCTCCGATAACTTTCATCCACCTTAAAGCCACGCTGCCCCTCGTCCTCCCCCCCTCGCCCGCCCTCTTTGCCAGCCCTCCTCGCGCTCGCTTCTTTTCCACCTTTCTTTATTCCTTTCCGCGTGCACCACGCGCCACTTTCACTATCGTCGCGATCCAATTCCACTCGACGAAGGCGACCAGAATCTAACGCGGCGCTGCCGCTCCGCACTCGCGACCATTTTTCGAGACCGCCGTTCTCTGTTCCGCGTTCGGTGATTTCTAAAAATAAAAATGTCGGCAGAGAGCACGAGCCGCCAGGCGGCGCGCTCGATCGGCAAACGGAACGGGAGAGAGAGAAAGAGAGAGAGAGAGAGAGAGAGAGAGAGACCGGTAAAAATACGTCCGCACCGAACCGTGTGCCGCGAGCTCGATGGATTTTTCGAAGAAAACGCGATCGTCTTCCACCACGGGCGCAAGGGAAA